GAGGAAGTTGTCGGCACCCCAAAAGAAGTCCAGGGTAACTTGAGACAGAATCACCCCTGTACCTCCAGGATAAGCCAAGATTAAATAGAAACTAAAATAGCAAGTAAATTCATTGCCTGTAAGGCACTAGAGCAGGGATGGTCCAACCTTGGCAACTTTAAGCCTTGTGGACTTCAACTTCTGGAAATTGGAGCCCACAAGTCTTAGAATATATATAGTATTGGAAGAATAGAAAACCAATAGTTGGTTTTTTTAGGAAGCCCCTATACCTGGTTAGTTCCAATCCTTGCCTGTTCCACCTCCCAAATGCTAGGCAGAGGTGGGAAACAGTTGCCTGTTTGAGAGGGGCTACACTCCAGGTCCCATCATCCTGGCCCATCTCACACCAATGGCTGAAGAACATTAGCTATCCAAGCTCAAAGTGAGAAACTCTCAAGAGTGATTGCATAGGCCGCCCCGTTGGACAACTAAGGAGGAAATGAGTACACTCAACTATTTCCCCAAGGGGAGGAGGGAAAAAAAAAACTTGGAGTTTCCAGGCAGGCAACATCCCTGAGTATATAACAGGAGGCAGGTATCAAGGTGTCTCAGATCACTGCTCTTGCAACGGACTTCTTGCCTCGGAGCGGCAGCTGAGAACCGAAAACAGACTCCGGAGCATCCTTCTCTGCCTCTTTCCCGCCGGCTGAACAAAGATGGTAAGAAGGCGGCCTCTGCCACCACCAGGTGTGCAAAGGAAATGCCTCGGGGGCCAGTCAAACACCTGGCCAGAGATTCTGGGCAATTAGCCAGCAAAGTCAGCAAGGAGCGGATGGCCTCTGGGTCTGCTCTGGGTGGCATGGCAAGTGGTCAGATGTGCTTCAAGCACTCTGCACATGCTCTGCTCCAGGGGTGGCTAAGGCAAAGGGGGCCGCGGGTGCAGAGGGGAGTGGAAATGGGAGGTGGAGTCTTCCAAGAGCCATCTCCTTCTCCTTCGTCCATCACTTTCGGGAAGTGGCCTTTAAAAAGGCAGAGCATCTCACGTTGCTAGCCGTCTAAAAATCGGATGACGCTCTCCGATCGTAAAAATATCTTGGCTTCTTCTCAGTCGCCCTGGCCAGACAATTTTATGGTCGCTTGCCTAAAAGGAAGCAGCAGAGCTTATTCTCTAGAAAGTACAAAGGGCAGAGGCTTCCTGGAATGCATTCTCTTCTAATGTGGATAAGAAAATGTGTTTTAAATTAATTGTGTCGGTACAGTTGTAAACTGGAGAGAGAAGCTTTGCGGTTTAATTCCTGATCACAAAGCTCAGGGGATGGAGATCAATTAAGCAGGAGTAGCTCCACTCAGAGGTGACAGAAACTCCTTTCTGTTGTAAACTTGATAGTCCCAAAGGTGCTTTTTCCTTGAGAACTGAAGACGCTTCTTGGATGAGAAGCTAAACGTTTTCAAGGATAAAAACCAAGAAAGTCTAGTTGCCTTTTGGAGAAAAAAACACCTTCCTGGATGACTGAGACTCTCCATAGACTCATTTGACTGTGTAGACAAGATACTTTCGAATTTAGAATAGCAGAGTTGGAAGGGACCTTGGAGGTCTTCTAGACCAGCCCTCTGCTTAGGCAGGACCTATAAACCTGACCAAGAACTAACATCTCAGATGACTGGACCAAAATAGAATGCAAACCAGAATTATTTATAGTAGGAATCACGAAAGAGAGATACAGTAAAGAGGTGACCTATCTAATACTACGTATTATAACGCCAGCGAGAATGGTTTTTGCTCAACAAAGGAAACATAGAGAAATCCCCCTAGAAGGTGAAGTGATAAAGAAAATACTGAGTTGTGCAGAAATGGATAGACGGATTTTGGAATTGAAAAAGAAAGGCGAGGCAGAATATCATGAGATATGGAATCAATTTTATCAATGGTGGAAACAGACGGAGGGACCCAGAATAAAAATTAATCAGGATTTGTAGAATGGACAGTTGAGGTTATGTATGCAATTATAACTGAATGTGATGGATATAAAATTAGTAGCCCTGAAGATGTTATGAATGGATAAGTTAACGGTATAAATGTACATTGTATACTTTAATATGCATAGCAAAGACGACGCCAGGACAGCCACACTGTGTCCAATATTTTAATGTGTAATTAATAAAAATGTAAAATTAAAAAAAAAAACTGAACATCTCACTAATCCTGAGTGAGACTTTGCTGGGGGGCAGGAAAGAGTAGTGGAAAGTGGACACACACACCCCGAGCCCCCTTTCACTTCCCTCTCTTGGCCCCTCCAGTGGTCCCTCCTGGTCGCCCTCCTGTGCCTCGCCTGGGCAGATGCCAAGCACGTGGGGTGCTTCACCACGGAGGAACTGGCAAATGACCCGATCCCGGCGCAGCTTCGGAACTGGGTGCCCCTGTTGCAACACCAAGACTGCGTGCAGCTGGTTCCGTTCCTGCAGAGTGAGCAGAACAGCCGCTCCCACTCCCAGACGCATCACGGCCCCAGCTGCCCGAACCTGAAGCTGCAGGATATGCAGAGCGACGAAGTGCACAAGCGCTCCATCTCGCCCTGGACATACTAGTAAGACCTTGCCTCGCGTGTGGGGAACCTGCCAGGCCAGGGGGTGTTTGAAAGGTGGGGGGGGGGGACTCAGACTGCTCCCACATATCCTCATTTGCCCACCTCAGGCCCCTTCCCTTTCCTGGCCGGGATTCCACCCAGGTGTCCCTGGATCTCAGCCCTTGGTTGGCTAAGAGTCCCTGGGTTCATGCCATTTGCGGTGATGGCTTGGCCCTCTTGGGTGATGGCGTCTCCCTGGGGATCTTGTGGCTCAGGAAGGATGGGGAAAGATTTACCAGATGGACAGAGTTGGAAGGGACCTTGTAGGTCATCTAGTCCAACCCCCCACCCAAGCAGGAGACCCTACACCAGTTCACCAAGAGAAGCATGGCATCCTTCTAACCGCACCCTTTCCCTCCATCCACAGCATCGATGAAGATGAGAACCGCTTCCCCCGCCAGCTGGCCTTCGCCCGGTGCAGCTGCAAAGGTTGCATCGATACCAAGTACGGCCGGGAAACCACCAACCTCAACTCGGTGGAAGTCAAACAGAGAACCATGGTCTTTCGCCGTAAGGCCTGCCCGCCCAACGGCAGCGGCGTGGAGAGGTTCTTCTTCGAGAAGGAATACGTGGAGGTGCCCGTGGCCTGCACCTGCGCCGTCCCACGCTACCGCAACTGAGCAGACCCCAGGCTGGTCCTTGGGGCTCCGGCCCACGTCCCTCCTCCCTCCAGCTTCATCAGAAGAGTTGTGTTCGTTCTCAAGCGTTGGTGCTTTGCGGCCAGTGGCTGCACCCCCTCCCCCGGGAAGGGCAAGCCTGGCCTAGACCCCCCCCATTCCCATTGAGGGGCCCTCCAACCAGAAGCCCCTTAAAAAGCATTTTACTCTCTTAAGGAGAGACCAACAGATGAAAAGGAATTCCTGATTATTTATTTGTATTTATGTTAACGTATTTTCAAGATGTGCTTCAAGCTATTCTATTTATTACTCCCGATGAAGTGGGGCCAATTTGCAGAAGAAACCTTCCCTACACCTCCATGTCCCTTTGCGGGGGGCAGTTTTCTTAGCCGTCCCAGGGCCACCCCAGCACCCCAACATTCTGAGCCTGCCTAAGGCAGGGCCGGCCTTGATCTGCCTTCTGGTGCATGTGGGGAGCCCCCTGGGGCTCCTTCACAGAAGGGAGACATTGCACGGATCTCACGGGGTGGATGTGAGGCTCTGCCTTCAATTTATCCCTAAGGTGGGCTGAGATGGGACGTGGCTGCCCCTCCTAATCCCCCCCCCTTCCCCCAGGAGCTGCTACGGCTGGACTGAAGCAGGTCCCTTCCTGGTCTTGCCCCAGGTGGCTCTTAGCTGAGCTTCGCAGATGCTCTCCGAGATAAACCTGGCTGGGGAGGAGGAGGGCTGTTCCCCCCCCCCCATTTATTTCCTTGTTCTGATGAGGCCTTTGCTCCCCTCTCGTATTGTAAGGTGATTTAAATTATTGGATTATTTATATGTATTTATTGTAATGTGATACAATATTTATTGTTCCTTGGGGTTGGACACCCTGCATTCAAATAAAGATTCTATTTCTGTACTGAAACCGTCTGATTCAGTTGGCTTTATTCATCACAGGGGGGCAGGATTGATATTCCAGAGAGAAGTGGCAGTTCTCGGTGCCCGCTCTTCCTCAATGGCACCCAGGCTGGCGGTTGCGATTTGGGGTGGGTTTTTTTTGTTTTTTTTTTAAATAATGGTGATCATGATGATGATTTCTCAGCCATTTTTCAACCTGGCTGGATGATGCAAGGTATATTTTATAGTCAACAGATAAATTTAAAGCATCGACCCAAAATAAAAACAGCAGCATTCTCAAAACTGGTTTGTTTATTGAACTAGTTAAAATAAGCAAGGAAGCAATTAGACTTCACATGTTAAATTGAGGAATTTAATAAAGCATTGTAAGTCCAGAATGATAAAATACACCAAATAAGGAAGGGGTGGTAAAATTGATTCATTCAATTAAAAGTGATGCTTCTGGGAATGTTAGACTCAAACTTGATGTATGCACGATTTGTAGAAACAGGATCTTTCTGATTCGCTTTGAAAAGGAGAAAACCCCGACTTGTTCGGAACTGAAATGAGATGGAGAAAAGGATGCCAGGAATGATCGAATAAAAGCATCCGCTGAGGGGAAACGGTGGGTGCCGGTTTCAGCGGAGTGTGGGACAAAAACTTTGGGGAAGGGGGGCAGAAGTCAGGGGGTGGCTGGTAAGACCCCTGAAAAAGTCCTGCTCTCTTGTGGGCCGACTTGGGGTCAAAATAAGATGGATTAGGAGGAAGGAAGAGGAGAGAGAGAGAAGGAGTGGAGGCGCCAGGGAGAGACAGAAGGCGGGGGGGGGGGGGGAGCCCCAAATAGGACCAACTTGATCTCTTCTGAGGGGGGGAGGGGGGGAGGCGGGGGGGGGGGGGGGGGGGGACACACCAGGGGGGGGGGGAGGGGGGAGGGAGGAAACATAAGAGAAAGACCACCGAAGACACCTCCCACCCGAGGGGCTTGCAGGAGTTCAGGTAGAGCCACATCCTCCTGCTTGGGAAAGATCTGGCCTGAGTTTCAGTCCTGGAGGGTGTCTCCCATGCCTGGGTCAAAAGGAAGTGGTGCCTCCCTCTCCGACTGCAGTCTATCTGATGGGGGAGACTCCTAAGAAATCACTTCAATTGGGTTTTCTTGGCCTGTTGGCTCTTCCTCCTTTTGCTTCTTCCGGGCCTCTGCAGGGGGTCGGGGCGGTGGGTTGCTGGGGGGGTGCTTAATGGTGCCCCCCACTTGGGGTCGCTCTGGAGGCTTTGCTTCAATGGGGCGCCACTCTTCGCCTCGTATGGCAGCCTGGAGAATAAAACCAGAGGGAAAGGGAGCGAAATTAGGAAACGCTGACTTTCAACACCTGGTGAAAACCCAAACAAGATAAAGTATTTATGGAAGAAATTGAACAAAAAGTGCAATGTAATTGATCCAATGAGATAAAGAGCTACAGCAGGGGCATCCAACCTTGGCCGCATTAAGACTGGTGGACTTCAACGCCCAGGATTCCCCAGCTAAACTATGGCTTTTAAACTTTGTTCACTGATGTATTCACTCAAGGTGGTTTGGAAATGCAAGCAACTAAATACTAATTTGACAAATATCATTTTAGAGCCAAAAATGCACATACCCATTTCTTGTCACCAAAAACTCATTCACAAAAAAAAAAACCTCATTTTTTTTAAAAAAAAATTCTTTTTAAGTGTCCTACCCGTTCCAGCCAGCAGATGGCGGAGGAGGACCGCCAAAGGCTTGCACAGGTAAACTTTTGCCACCTGGAAGGACTACCTTCAATTTTGGCTAAATTAAATACTAGACAGACTGACTTAACTCATGAACAACCCACTACATCTTAAGTGGCTAATTAATGATCACTAAAAGGGTGGCATCCTTTAGAATACAAAGGGAGGATGGATCTAATAGAGGTGACTTCAGAGTTATATACTCATATATTTTATCTCTCTGTGTGTCCAAAACTCTCTATAAAAATTCTCTTGGCTCTTTCAAAAGAACTAAGGGAGATGAAAACTAATTATGGGAAGCACAATTATCTGGCAGCCACTTACCAGTAAGTAGATGCCACTTGCTATGGCCAGGCAAACGGTGCCAAGGATGGTGGCTAGCAAATATCCTGCAGGAACTGCTAGGCTGCCAAAAGGAAAGTTTAAAGGAGAAAAAAGTTAGCTAGGAATGCGGCCCCTGCGATTATGAGAACCACAATTTCATTTGGCAAGGTTTGAGTTTGGCTCTCCAGAAAACCTTCCATCACCAATGCTATCAAATCAGCTTCCAACTGACACCCGGTCAGCACCTGATTTTACAACCTTTTTTGCAGCAGTCATTAAGTGAAGCCATTGGGGGGGGAGGTTTCCAGAAACTGGAAATCACTATTCATTTCTGGGGGGGGGGGAATGTCCTCAATCCCAGTCACGTGACCACAAGATATGGCAAATGGACATAAATGTGGTTTTAAGAAGCGGTCACATGACTGTGGGGGAGGGGGAGGCAGACGTCATAACTTTGAAACTGGGCCATAAATAGCTTTTGTCCGTCGTAACGTCAAATTGTTGCTAAGCAACCGGCCCTGAGTCGAGGACTACCTGTGAGTATCTTCACCCTCCTTCACATTCACCCCTGCAACCTTACGCCCTGAGCAGGGGAGCTGCAGCTGAAAATCCTGCCCTGAGTCTGAAAATGGTTGGGATGCAAATTACCACGCGTGGAGAACGGCCCGGACATAATAATTCCTCGTTAGGGGTCCACAGCTCTTCACAGCCGCTGTGAAATACTTCTGGCCACTGCAGGAAACCAGAATAAAGAGACAGCCAAAGAAAAAAGCACAGAATTAGATGCCGAGTTCAAGGGAAGAAGCATTCCGTGACACTCCGAAAAACACACCCTTTCCCATTTATCAGATTCAGAATAATAACAGGATAACAGTTGGAAGGGACATTGGAGGTCTTCTAGTCTAACCCCCTGCTATACCATTTCAGACCAGTGGCTGTCTAGTCTCTTCTTAAAAACCTCCAGTGATGGAACGCCCACCACGTCTGGTGGCAAGCTGTTCGGCTGATGAATTGTTTTCACTATTAGGAAGCTTCTCCTTTTCTAGGTTGCTTCTCTCTCCTTGCTTCTTGTCTAGCCTTCTTGTCTTGATAAATGCAACAGGGCTAGCTAACTTAATCTCGCCCTGTAGATTCCCTCAACTCAACTTTAGAAAGATCCAGATGGATCTGGACATCCTCCATTTACATAGTTTACTCTGTAGGTCTAAGCAGCAGGGAGGAGTAGAGAAAAATCACATCCTTCTGTGTTTGGCAGCATGAGGACTAGAAACTTCCTCTTCGCTTTAGAGAAAGCCATGTTTCCCAGCAGACTAACTTCTTCCTACAGCCAAGAAACGCAATACTCACCACCTCTCCAGAGTGGATCCCTTTTTCCTCTTCCCTCGGGGATACTCCAAGAAGCAAACAAACACCCCTGCGACTCTTTAGACAAAACGGTTAAGGACAAAAAAGAATAAGGATTCTTTTGAAGGCTTCTCCGAGACAAAGAAAAACCATTTGGGACTACAAGAAACAACCCGGGCGGTTCATTTTAAGCAGGAGGAGGCATTTGGGGCAGAAACCAGCTGGCTCAGTATTTAGGAAGGGTCAGGTCCACAGGTGATATGACAATGAGAATACATTTCCCACCTGGCCAGAGTCCATGCCATCCCCACTATGGGAGAAACACCAGGAAGAGGAAAAAAACCATCTTATGGAGATGAATCTGGCAGTGAGAGGGAACAGTCCCTGCAAAGCAAGATGGGCAGCATACAAATTTAAGGAATAAATAAGAATAAGGCCTGCTTCCTCCCGCCCCCATCTCCTGGGGATGGGAGAAGGAGTTGGAAAGTGTTATAAAAATAATTCAGTAAAAGAAATACACAAACAAACCACAGGCAATAAAACTTTCTTTGAGATAAGAGGTTTATTTCACGAGCAATTTGGAACATGAAAAGCCATCATAGCAGAACAACATTTCAGTAAGATAATACTTACTAACAACCCATTGCAATGAGGTCCAGGGATAGTAGCTAAGTCCAGCAAGGAATAGCTACCATTGGTGGCCCTGATATGAGATTTACCCCCTTCTTTTACACCCTTTTTCTGAAGCCCACCCAGTAGTATGTAATCTTACTGGATGTACCTCAGACTGACTGGAAAGTGGGCAAAACCAGCCAAGCGGCTGGCTGGGTTGGGCTGGCCGAGTGATAAGACACCTGGGACCTGAATCTTGGCATGATTCCTATTTCATTTTTGCTGCTCCTTGTTGGGGGCCAAAGAGACCGTCCTCCTGCCAGCATCTCCTGGAAGAAGCATCTTTCGGTTTCTCTTTTGGAAACTGAGAGACGTTTATTATTGCAGAAACGTTCCCAAAGATTGTGGCTGATCATCAAGCTTGTATTTTGCCAGTCTAAAAATCCACAATGGCTTCAGATTGGGTAAAATGGGGTGCAGATTCTTGCCCAGATTCGTGTGTCTTCTTTCACGAACCCTGGCTTTGGCCCCGTGGGTGAAACCACCCCGTGTGGGCTCCCTTCCTCGTGATCTGGGTGGGCTCCTGCTGGCCTTGCCTTTATCATTCTTCTTCCTCTCTGAAACTTTGCAGAAAACCCCGAAGAGCAGAGTTACCAGCAACAGAGAGAAAATGCAATTTCCTGCACCCTTTTTGGCCAATAGGACCTGACCTTCTCTCTTCCAACCTACTCACAGCCACAACGTTTCCAAATTCTTCAACCACAAACATTCCAAATTTTGCAATCTGACTCTGCAAGAAGCAAAGCTGTCTAGCTTCCTTCATTTTTTCTACTTTCTGTCTTGGAACGCCATCCTCATTGATTCTCCATGTTGAATATTTATTTATTTGTATCCTGCCTTCATTATTTTTACAACTAACTCAAGGCAGCGCACGTATCCAGCACACCTTCTCCGTCCTATTTTCCTCACACCAATTACCTTGTGAGTTGGGTTAAGCTGAGAAAGATCGACCCAAAGCCGCCCAGCTGGCTTTCATGGCGAAGGCAGAACTTAACATTCAGATGCCTTTTAATATGGATATAATTTTAAGAGAGATATAGGCAACTAGGTGTTATTTGTCCTAGCAGGCTGCAGGGGAATAGAATTTATACAATTATCATATGTTTACAAAAGGATACATTGCATAAACCGCAATCTCCCATCTTTTGAATTGGCCTGAAACAGCCACGATGCCACCGGTCACTAAAACTAAAAGAGAGAGAGAGAGAGAATTTTTGTTTGTTTGTGATTATTCACTTTCTATCCACAGCGTATTTTTCGGATCCAAAATTATGCAAACTGGGAAAATGTGTCAACTCCTGAGCCCATGCAAAACCACAGATCGTGTGGATATACATGTTTAGCCTTGCTTTTAATCTCCTTGTTAAAAAAAAGAAACAGATGTACGGGTAGTGCTTAACTTACGACCACAAGGATCCCCACATTTGTTTCTACATGAGACAGTTGTTATAGCAATAGCACTTAGACAGATACACCGCTTCCCAGTGCTTTTACAGCCCTCCCTGAGTGGTTATATGAGTTTTGCCCCATTTACGGCCTTCCTTGCCAGTTGTTAAGTGAATTAACTGCAGCTTGCTTGTCAGAAGGTTGAAAAGGGTGGGTGGGACTCCAGCCCCCATCCTCCTCCTCCTCCTCCTCCTCCTCCTCCTCCAGAGAGCGAAGTGCCCAATGTCCCGGGATGCTTAAGGCCAGAGGGTGGGGAAGGATAAAACGGAGCAGAGGGAGGCAGTGATGCTCTGTGCTGCAACGTTCAGTCGTAGGCATGGAAGGGTGGTGTGTGTGTGGGGGGGGGCCTCCCTGGGGATTCCAACTCCTGGAAGCATCAGGATCCTGGGCTGGGCTGGGGGTCTTTTTTGCTCCCTTCCTGTGGGTGTTAGGATTCAGTGCAGGCACGGAAATGCAGGCAGTTGCTTTGCTCGCCCCCGCCCCCACCTCTTTCAGGGAGGAAGAGAAGCCAAAAGAGAGAAGTGAAAGCTGCCCCCTCCCACGCGCAGCCCCACCCTCCATCTCCTCCTGCGGAGGGTCAACAGGGGAGGCCGCACACAGGTTGTCCTCGGGTAAAGATCTGGCCCAGCGCTTGGCGTGAGCTCCTGTCCACTTGCCTGGCCCAAAGGGGCTGTCCGGTTCATCACTCAGGCGGGACCACAAGCCCCACAGTGGGAAGGAGGATGTTTAAGATTTCAAGGAATATTCCTTCAAAAGGGGGTCTTTGGGACTCTACCTCTCTCCTTAAAAAATGTGGGGGAATATTTGGTGGATTCTGATTCCATATTAACAATTAGCAGTTGGCTAAGCCCCCCCCCCCCTTCGTGCCCCTTGGCTCACTTGGGGGGGGGGAGTTGTCTTCCTGTTGAATTAGTCAGCAACTTTCAGGTGTTAATCCATGAAGCTGAGCTGTGATTATGGGTAGAGGGCAGGCAGGGGCCTTCTTTTCGGGTAGAAAAAAGGGGTTATGCCCCTCTTTTCTATCCCCCAATGGAGCTTGTTCCTCCCCCCCGCCCCCCCCCCCCCCCGTGGCAAGTGTCCAGTAGAAGAGCAAACGGGCCAGAAAGGACGGGCTCACACCCCTCCCCCAGCAATGGCCCGGTCTCTTCTTCCAAACTTCCTTCCCCTTATTTTCATGGTTCCACTTCCTCCCTCCTCTTCTCTCGCAACCCACAGCGGGCCAAGCGTTCAATGGGGTGTGTGTGTGTGTGTTCCTTTCCCTTTGCAGCAAG